ATAATTTGAGTGACATCCTGGGAACTGCATGGCAGCATGCATTTCTGCATTAAAACACAGGAAACCTCAGTATCTGAAACATCAGGTAAAGATTACATTAGTGAGACGTAATCAGAGCTACATATAAAAAGAAGAAATAATATTACTGCTTTCATACTTGAGTTATATCTGTTCAGTTATTAAGCAAAAACTGTCGTGAATTCCTTTTGCCTGCTTTGGTGCAAATTAAAGTGACAACAGGTGGAAAGGTAGGATATATATATATATTTTTTTACTTTTGATTTCAGTGAAATACACAGTCGTAAGAAAAAAAATACTTGCTGACTTAATAGAAGTACAGGGAATAATAACAGTAAAGGATCCAGTTCAATACAACCTTTTTTAAAGCCTCTTTATTAGTTTTAGTGGCCACACATCTAAGGTTTCATTTCACATCTCCTGAATGTGTTGATTCCCAGACTGCCAAAACAATCAGTCATTTAGATGCTTAATTGACAAAACCAATTTTAATTTAATGGATGTATAACCTATAAATCTATTATTGTTCTCTAGTAATTAAAAAGATTCAACATCTTTCTTGAGCAGAATTGCAGACTGCACAGATGGTCCCTTCCCAAAGGAAAGAATACAATAACTTACTAAGGTATATACTAGACTTAATATTTACTGAATAAAATAATGGATTTCTATACATTTTACATCAGATAATGTTAATTATAAACTAGACATTTTTAAGTGAGAATAGGAAAGAAAAGTATTTCTTTGTGCTGCTGTTGTTTAACGCAACATCCGCTGGTTTCCTCTTTCTGGTGCAAAAGCCAATCAGCTGATCATTGATCAGTTTCATGATTGAATTAGCAACTTTCTAGCTGAAGTAGTACGGGACAAATCGTGTTCTTTTTCATCTCAACTTTAAAGTTCGACCTCCTCGGCTGGTCCAACCCAGAGTCGATCATGACCAACTGGCCAATCCGACACCATTCATTTATACCGTTAAAAAAAATAAAAGAAATTAAAAAAAAATAAAACCCCATCGGCCCATAAAAATTAAAGAGAGCAGCCCACTGGGCATATGCCTGGTATGTCCAATGGCCAGTGCAGCCCTGGGCTTGTGGTCATGCATTAAATTAATAAAAGACTATCCTTCTGCACACCGTTTTACTGTTTAAATGAAAGTTGCTCCTAAATGTTCTTATTCCCTTACCTCCTCTGGAAGTCATCAACATCCACACAGAGATTATAATCCACCAAAACACAGTAGAGGAGACCGTGCTCATGTTACCGTTACATTTCACTAAGCACACAATGAAAGAGGAAGAGGAAGAAAAAACAAAGGAGCACTTCCAGCATCACGTGACACCAGCTTTGTGGATTAAAAACAATAACAATATAAATAATACATGAAATCAAATAATGAAATTTAAAAAACCATTGTAGCAAAATTATTCCAGGAGAAGATTTATCTTGGAATAACCACCATCCAAATTATCTCTAAATTCTAGAGGCAAAGAAAAGGACATGCAGGACAGAGAGAAGCAATAAGTAAAGGCAGACATTTGTCTCTAAAGACCAAGTGTTACACTAACTAAAAGTCTTGTGTTCAAATATAGGCTTCACCCTCATGCTATTTAGAGCTATGACAACTTTAATGCTATTATTACAACATCTACATATTTTTTTTTACTAAGTAATTTTAACTTAGTTTATTGTGTGAA